TCTGGTCGTATGCAATTCATCCACTACAAGAATTCTGAGCAACAGGTACGGACAATTAGGGACAGTTTCAAATTTGTCCCAAAAAGGTAGTTTATTTGGGACGGAAGGGGCAGTTTGTCCCAAATTACCCAAAAAAGCCTAAAATACCAACAAAAAAAAAAAAAATTCCCCCCTCTCCAATTTGTTAGCGCGAAAATTTAGCGCCATATTTATATTTTTTTTAATAAAAAAAATTATGAAAATGGCCTTTTGGGACGGTAAACGTACCGTCCTTGATTACTTACCAGGTAATTTTACAAAACTATCCTTCTAAAACGACGTAGTTTCGGTCAATTAGCATATATATATTTTGCCCACAAGGGAGACACTTGCGCAGAACCCTCTCAATTATATTAAACTTGTTCTGCCCTCTTTCTGAAGGATTGCCCTAGCTAGCTCTTCTCCTTCCGTCTTCTATCTCAGACGATGATGATCCCTCTGCCTTTACATGACATCTAGTGCTGAAAAACTTGTATGGTCTTCCCCAATATCGATCTCTTTCTTTTCAATTCAAGTCATTGCGAACTAATTTTCTCTTTCGCAAAAGTGGGTATCAACATGGAGGTCTTGAAGAGCCCAACAACAACAGCAGCCGGAAACGATCTTTCTTGATATCCTCTGCTCTCCTATCGACGAGTCCTCTAACACTCTCTGCCGTCTTCAACATCAATCCCACCGCCGGTAATTTTCACTCCTCAATTCCCTTATTTCCCAATTAATGAACCCTAACTACGTATACATTCACTATATACACATATATACACATGCATATAATTAACATAAATGTTTTAGATGCACAAAACTTGAGTGTTCGCTTTATTGTTCACTGCTTAACAACCATATTTGTACTGAAAACGAAATTAAGGAAAAAAAAAATGTAACAAAAAGGAAAACGGGGGGTGGGTTCAAAGATCAATATTTAATTTGGTAAGTAGTCATGCATGGAACTCTGTATTTGGATTAGGATCAAGTTATGATTAACTTTGAATATTAAATTTTTGGTGAAAATGAGACAGAAAAATTAAAAAAGAAGAATTGTAAAGGTCTTCTTTGAATTTTTATTTTGATTTAGAATTGTGGAATGCTGGAGAAGATTTTTAAAACTTGAAATCAGAAGATAAGTTCTTGTCGCGCTCATCCTTCCAAATTGTACATTAAGCGCATTAATTTGGACTTCAATTTTCAATTTTCTTATGGTATTACATTAGGAATTTCCTTATGGTAGACGTGCTTTATGTCCCAGTTGGTGGGAAGCCCTACAGTTGGTGTGTGAGCTTCTGTTGGAGTCACCTACTTACCCTCTAACTTCTAATCAAACTTCAACCAATTGCCAGGCTAAAAATATATATTCCTTCTGCAGTTAAGTTTTCTAAATTTTCTCAAACATATGATTGTAATGCAAAACATAAACTTTACTTTTAAAATAGTGGCACTTTTTTACCTTTCAAAATAGAAGATCTAGGTTTAAATCCCTTAAAAGAAAAAGTGGAATGTGAGAGTGAGTTTCTATTAAAAAAAATTATTAAATAAAATAAAATATAAAATAAAATAGAATAAATTTTCTTATATATATATTTTGAAGGAGTTATGCTATATATTGCTATTATGAAGTAAAATAGACAATTGTCTTCACTTCTTTTTCTTTTTAATCCATTGAGGAACCTGATATCTCGCGTACTTTGAGAATAATATAAAATTTCATAATTCGTATAAGAGTAGATTCTTTGCACAATCTATAAACTAAGCTACTTCATTAATTTAATTTTCTTGCTGGAAAGTCGATCCTTTTTTGTGGGTTTTGTTGATTGATCTTAGTAATATATAATTTGCAGTTTATTGGCTTCTTCTTTGTCTAATTGGGTGAACATCTAATTCATTTTAATTGGGAGGCAACAAAGTCAGTCCATCAATGGTGGACAAAGCTTCTTCTTCCTTCTTTGTATTCTGATCTCACCCACTTTCCTACTCTAGACACTCCCTGCAACAGGTCCGTCATCTTCTCACAAACCCAACTTTTTCATTTTTGAATATTCTTCTTATGGCTTTGGAAATATTTTAATTTTGCATTAACCTAAATGGTACTGATGGGTTTTAACGTTTTTTTTTTTTTTTTTTGGAAAAAAAAAAATCTTCCAAAAAAAAAATCATAACAAACTAAATTTAGTAGTATTATAAATTATTGGCCTGAGTTGTATCCATCTCCTTTTGGAACTAAATTTTTAAAAAGTTTTATTGGACAAGAAAACAGAATGTATAAACAAGACTTTATATCCCATTGATCTTCTTATCCACAAGTAGAGTGCAAGTTAGCTGTAAAGCTAATTAATTGATAACTATAGCCAACAAAACAAAACAATTTTTTTTTTTTTTGATAACTAGAGTGTATCATGTAGATAAGAAGAAGTGCAAAGTATGTGTCCAAGGACAAATGTTATTTTGAAACTGTACAGCTTAATCCATCACTTTGCCTTTTCCAGTTCTGCAGACTTGGTTCTAGCTTCACAAGATGTTTAAGAGAGGGTTTTGTTTTGTTTGTTTGTTTTTGTTTTTTTTTTTCTTCTTTCATTTTTTAGTTAGTATTATATAAAAAATATATGTATATATATATATATTTATCTGACAAGGAGAAGGTGTCACGCCCTGTCTTGGTGCGCACGAATTGGTTAGAGTGGTGCTGAAAGTCACACCAACTAGGAGAGTGCCTCCCAGGTCACCGCAAATTGATCCAATATCTGGGACTTTTTCCCTAATTATGCTTGACTCACTAGCTATTTATTAAATTATTATTTGTCACTAAATTGTTTCTTGGGGATTTTTTTTCCTATAATACTTTAAATTCAACAAGTGACTCGATGATCCCTATTATTTTGTATTGCTAATCTTACAGTTTTAAAAATACCAAATTCAAGCTTTATTTTTCAAAAGATTACTGAGCTATTTTAACAATTTTTTGGTAACCAATTGTTATAGAATGCAACACTTGTGTATTGTGTATTTAAGAAAATCTCTAATCCCCAGCATTACTGATCCACTTGAGCAGCCAAAAATGTTATCAATTCAATGGATTTGTAAATTTTGCATTAGCTCAAAATGTTTAGTTGAACGCATAAAGTGCCCATCCTTTATATTTTTGGAATACCCCATCCATTTGTCTCAGTTGATTGGATTGATAGCTTGGAATGTTTTCTATCATTTGCTTCTTTGCTTCGTGCTGTAGATCTTCTCTATAAGGATTACCAGAGCGACTAGAAGTTCAGTGTCACTACTTACTCTTCTACGGGTGTTGTAAGTGTATTTTATTTTCTATATTTAATTTTTTTTTCCCGTTGCTTTTTAGATTTGTATATTTGCTTTTTGGCTTGGTGAGGCTAGAGTTATCTCTTTATTTATTGTTTTGTGTGTATGGTGTAATTTGTTGAGTATTTTTATATCTAAGTCAATGTGCTTTGTTCAAAAAATAGAAGAAACCAGTTCAATAGATTTAACACACATGTTTTTTATGGCCTTATATATACATATGTGTGTGTGTGTGTGAGTATTTGTATTAGTTCACATCTAGATAATGAAGTACTAGGAAATGGGGCTTTTGTTTTTGATCTCTTAGGTTTTGGTTTCGTCTAACATTGTGATATATAGTTGAAGTTATGGACAAAACTCTATGATTTTGTTTTGTATTCTATACAGATCTGTTCATGTGTTGCCCAAAAATAAAAACTTGTTTGAATTAAATCTGGGAAAAAATTATCTTTAGGAAAAAAAATAATTATTATGTTCCTTCATTTTCTGGTTGTTTGGGAGGCTATAACAGATTTTTTTATTTTTATTTTTATATTCCTGGACACAATTGTAGTCATGTTAATTCTTTCAACTATTGGAAGTTTCAAGGCTTTATACATAATTGGATTCTCCAATATGAAATTGACCTAGAGCGGGTACATAGATCACCTTTGCTCAATTTCCAAATTTTACTTTTATACAAGACTACGAGTATACTGATCAGAATTCATACCAAAATTTAGAAGTAAAAAAGTAAACCCAAAGACACCATTTTTTATGTTGCGTAGATGTGTTCTGTCCCACATGGGATGTAAATTAGGTGATCTTGTGATTTTGTAATTAAACAGTCCAATTTTCAATGTCTTGTGATTTCTTAATTTCCTGTTCTATTTGTTTCGGTAAATTTGTCTCCATGTGTTTTGATTAGATTTTAAGTCTACTTCTTTTTTTTTTTTTTTTTTGAATATCTTGTTTCTATATACATGTGGTTTTGTTTGGCTTTGGATTTGAACTAAATAGTGTTGTTTTATCCTCCTTTTGGTTCAGATTTAGTGATTTTTCATTAGAAATTAGTTCACATCTAGATAATGAAGTGCTAGGAAATGAGGCTTTTGTTTTTGATCTCTTAGGTTTTGGCTTCGTCTTAACATTGTGATATATAGTTGAATCTGTGGACAGAACTATATGATTCTGTTTTGTATTTTATACGGAATTGTTTGTTCATGTTTTGATTGATGTTATTTTTAAGCTTCATTGTTTTCTTCAATTTAATTTGTTTAAATGAAAGGTTCTCTTATAAATATGTTTGAATTTAATCCGGGTAGATATTATATTTAGGAAAAATAATAATTATTATGTTCCTTCATTTTTTGGTTGTTTGGGAGGCTATAACATTTTTTGTCCTGAACATACTTGTACATAATGTGTTCAAAATAAAGTTGTTCCTTACATATATATATGTTTATAACACATTTCGACATAATTGAAATACAAAATAATGTGTTAAAAATTAATAAATGTATTTCCACACAATTGCATCTATTTTAATACATTATTCATGTTTCTATTTAATGGGATAGGACCATGGATGAGGAAATTGAAAGAGTTATACATACACATATATATTCAATATGCATCAATTCTATTGTATCCATAATTGATTTTGTTTTTGATGAACCAGTTACATGGATAAGTCTTGGATTCATCATCATGCTAGGGGTAGTGAAGGGTACAATAGAGGCATAAGAAACTTCATAAAGTTGGCTAACAGACATAAAGATGGGCAGGGTAGGATCAGATGTCCGTGTCGTTTGTGCAAAAATACTGTGTATAAGCCAATTAAGGAGGTTGAAAAACATCTATTTCAGTGTGGGATGTACAAGTCGTATACTAATTGGATATGGCACGGGGAGGGTACTGTTAACATCACTAGTACTGTTAATACAGAATATGATGTTAATACCGACAATGGGGATAATGCCGATGAGGGACGTGGAAACGAAGACAATGTATTTGAACAGCTGGATAATGTACGAATGGGAACATTCACTAATGCAGAACAAGCAGAAGATCCACTTGAAGTTGATGTGGGAGACGAAAGATTTAAGAAATTGCTAAATGACGCACAATGTGAATTGTGGCCAGGTTGTCAGAAAAACTCTAAGTTGTCAGCAATATTAAAGTTGTTCCATATGAAAGTTGTAGGCCGAATGACCAACAAAAGTTTTGACATGTTGCTTAAGTTGCTAAAAGAGGAGTTGCTTCCTGATGACAACACGTTGCCAAAGTCATATTACGAGACTAAAAGCTTGTTACGTGACTTGGGTCTCGGATACGATTCCATCCATGCATGTAAAAATGATTGTGCTCTATTCTGGAAGGAGAATGAAGGTAAAGAATGTTGTCCACAGTGTGGTGAGTCAAGGTATAAATCTCGCGAAGGTAAAGGTAAGAAAATTCCTCAAAAAGTTCTACGATACTTTCCTTTGAAACACAGGCTTCAACAATTGTTTATGTCAAAGGATACAGCCGTAGACATGCGGTGGCATAAGGAGAAACGCGTCAAAGAGACAAATGTGTTAAGACATCCAGCTGATTCAAAAGCTTGGGAGGAATTTGACAATAAACATAGTTGGTTTGCTGCCGATCCTCGTAATGTTCGTCTCGGGTTAGCATGTGATGGTTTTAATCCATTTGGTAACATGAGCAATGCTTATAGTATGTGGCCTGTAATTATTGTGCCTTACAATTTGCCACCTTGGATATGTATGAAGGAACCATATATGTTTATGTCATTGCTTATTCCTGGTCCTAAATCACCTGGTAATGACATTGATGTGTACCTGCGACCGTTGATCGATGAGTTGAAAGAATTGTGGATGGATGGTGTGATGACATATGGTGCCTATAGCAAATCTCACTTTAACATGCATGCGGGGTTGATTTGGACTATACATGATTTTCCCGCCTATGCGATGACATCCGGATGGATGACAAAGGGTTATATGGCATGTCCAAATTGTAACAAACACACATGTTCTTGTTATTTGAGTCATGGAAAGAAGATATGTTACTTGGGAGCTCGTATTTTTTTGTCATCCGAACACGCTTATAGGAAGCGTTATAAGCAATTTAATGGTGAGAAGGAAGAAAGACAGCCACCAAAGCAGTTGACTGGTGATGATATTCTAGAACAACTTAATCTCATACCCGAGGTTAGATTCGGAAAAGGACCAAACAATAAGAAGCGGACTCGTGGGAAGGAGGAACTTAATTGGACAAAAAAGAGTATATTCTTTGAATTGCCTTATTGGAGAACGCTTTTGTTGCGGCACAACTTGGATGTTATGCACATAGAGAAAAACATATGTGATAACGTATTGGGGACATTAATGAACATTGAAGGAAAGACGAAAGATACGTTCAAAAGTCGGATGGATTTAGAAGAAATGGGTATTAGAAAAGAACTTCATCTTAGGCGCAATGGTGAGAAATTTGAGATGCCACTTGCGCGTTACACATTGTCAAAGGATGAAAAAAGGCAATTGTGTGATTGGTTAAAGTCGGTGAAATTCCCAGATGGTTATGCGTCGAACATAAGCCGTTGTGTGAATGTCAATGAATGTAAGATATCTGGATTGAAAAGTCATGATTCACATGTTCTCTTACAGCGTCTCCTCCCTCTAGCTATACGGGGATTGTTACCCGTTGATATTTGTAATGCGATAGCAGAGCTTGGTTTATTCTTTAAGGAGATGTGTTGTCGGACCCTTAAAATGGATGTCTTAGAGGCATTAGAAAGGGACATTGCTGTTATAATATGCAAGTTAGAGATGATATTTCCTCCATCATTTTTTGACATAATGGTGCACTTAGCTATGCATTTGCCACGTGAGGCTATCATCGCAGGACCTGCCCAATATCGGTGGATGTATCCCATTGAAAGGTGATGTATATTTCTAATAAATAAAATGTTTTGGGGGCATTACATGATATTTAATTATGTATAAGTATTTTGATGTGTATGCAGGTTTTTACATACTCTTAAGTCTTATGTGCGTAATAAGGCACGTCCTGAAGGGTCCATTGCCGAAGCTTATGTGGACAATGAATGTGTTACATTTTGCTCAAGGTTTCTTCAAAGGATTGAGACACGATTTAATCGAGAAGAAAGAAATCACGAGGGCGACTATCGTACCAATTGGTCCACTTTTTCACAGCTAAGGCAAGTGGTTCGTCCTTTAGGGTCTGGAAGTTTAGAAATACTTGACATTGCAAGCATACAAAAGGCTCGATTCTACGTGTTAAATAATTGTCCAGAAATTGAGTCATACGCACTGTAAGTTATATATTGTATTTTTTTTTTTTTAAATTATCTACTTGTAAATTATAAAATGCATATATTAATATCACATAATTATTTAGTGCACACAAGGCTACACTTGAGCAAGAAAATACGGTTAATGTACAATCCAGACACGCAAAAGAATTTCCCAGATGGTTGGAAACACTGGTAAGTCTATAATGTGCTTGACATACCTACCATTTCTTTTAGATGTTGTGTCCTTGTGCATTAGTTTAACACTCTACAAATTTTTCATAGATAAAGGAAGAGCGTTATCATAACAAGTCAACAATTAATGATGACCTTTATTCATTAGCGTGTGGACCTGAATCTCGGATACATCGATATTCTGGTTGCATTGTAAACGGAGTTAGGTTCCATACAAAGGAAAGGGAGAGAAATCGAAGAACACAAAATAGTGGTGTGTTAGTCAAAACAGAGGACCTTGATTACTATGGCGTCTTGACAGATATCATTGAGTTACAATACCCTTTGAAAAGGCGGGTTGTCCTATTTAAATGCGATTGGTTCAACACAAAGACTGGTATTAAGAGTGATACTTATTTTAGGAGCATAAACATAGCCCGTAAATGGTACAAAGATGAGCCTTTTGTGTTGGCTAATCAAGCTAAACAAGCCTTCTTCGTCAAAGACAGCAAATTACGAGGGACGTGGGAGGTCATTCAAGATATAACACATAGAAGCTCCTATGATGTTCCTGAAATGGAGGATGATAGCAAACTTACAGCTGAAATGTGTACTGCAGCATATCAAGAGGATGAACCATGTATTGTGGATAGGGTTATTGAGGCGGCAAACTTTGACATGGATCCACTCCCTTTGAATAGGGATGGCTTGGAGGTTGAAAGTATTGATGCTGAAATAATTCTTAAAACTAGTCAAGAATCACGTTATGAATTTGACTTTCTTGAAGACAATGATGAAATCTCCATTGAAGACAATTCAGACGAGGAAGAAGAATTGCTTAGTGAAGATGATACTGATTTGGATGACATGTGATGAGTTTTATTTTTATTCATTTTTTGTTGAACACATGCAAATTTGAAGTTAAATTGTCTTCAGTACTTGAACATTAAGTTTTAGAATATGTATTGTTTTTATCTTTTTGTCTTATTATTACTTCTTTTTTTACATTCACATTATCTATTATTTTTCTTTATATTAATTTTCTGTTGTCTTGTTATTTTAATACTTCTCCCTCTTACTTAATTGTTACTCTCTAATCTATCGATTTTTTGATTCGTTATAAAGATTTTATTCGCCTTTTGCTGTAATATACCATGGCATCCAATGAACCTCGTCGCTCTTTGAGATCTAACAATGAACTCACCCAAAATGCTCCTGCATCGTCCCAGCCACAACCAATAGTGGAAGGTGATATTTTCTAATCTTTACATTTACTACACTTGGTCTTTGAATTTACTAAAAGTAGGTCTCAAAATACTTTTACAAGTTACTTTCATGTCTTTTATTTTTCAGGTTCTTCAAGAGAATTCCCGAAGCGTGGAAAAGCTGTAAACAAAAAAAAATATAAAATCAAAAATTACAATGGGGGTATCATTCCGATTAAGTTTAACGACGATTATTCAAAACCGGTGGAGGAACATTCAGATTTATGGGAGAGAGAGCTTGGGATCATTGCTCGTGATTACATTCCACTATGCTATAACAATTGGCTGAAGATTCCGAAATCTCATAAACAGTTCTTATATTGTAAAATAAAGGTTTGCCTTAATTAATGCATATCTTTGTGTGGGATTTCTTTGTATATTTAGATGATATGAAAAATAATTTGTAATTTTTCCTTTTTTAGCTTTCCAAAATCAGGATTCTGTTATTTTTCCTTCTTTAAAATGATATTTATTTATGGCTTATTCATGTGAAAAACTACAGGAAGAATTCGGAGTTGATTGTGAAAAGGATTCAAAAGCTAAGGAATGCGCAGATAACGCATTAGCCATTGCTCATAGGAAGTATAGGTACCGTTTGAAAGAACATTTTAACCAATTCGAAACAGAAGAAAGTGCACGCCGCAACACACATCCTGAAGTAACTTACGAGGACTGGCAGATCTTGTGCAATAGGTGGATGTCAAAAAAATTTCAAGTTAAGTTTACTACATTTTTTTCTATTTATATCTTCTTTCCTTCATTTGTTGTATCATTTTTCAATTATTTTGTAGGAAATTAGTGCCCAGAACAAAGAAAACAGGTCAAAGAATGATGTGATACATTATGCTGGGTTAAAGTCGTTTGCCAAAATGCATTATGAAGAGGTATGTAATATCTAACACTATACTTAGATTTCTTTATTTTTTTTTCTTTCAACAACCATACCTTATAATATATAAAAATAATTAATGAAGAAACAAAAGGAAGCTACTTTAAATGATGAAGATAGTGATGAAGAGAATGAGGATCGTATCGTAGGACCTGCCATCAAAATGTACAAGAATGCACATTTCAAGGAAGGGACTGGATGGACTAATGATGATGCTCGCAAAGCATATGTAAGTTATGAAATCTTTTTTTTTTTTTTTTTCATAGAAGTTAAATCATCTAACTTAACATGAAGATTCGCCAATTTTCATAGTCTTCTCTATGTCTCTATCTCTCTGCATACACATATATATAATAATGATTAGGAGTTTTGATTTTTTTTTTTTTTCATAAATCTAGGTGTGACATTTTAATATTAATCTCCGTGTCACCCCTTATCCCTAGAAATCTTCTCTGTTGTTAAAACTTAGAAGTGGCTGGGAAATATGGGAATGATTTTTGTTTTTCTATAAATATTTTTTTTTGGGTAAGTGATCCAATATGATCAACAAACAAGGGTACTTGCTTCATTTGAAAAGCATTGGTCTGGTTATATAATTTGAACATTGGCTTAGTAGGTGTTTAGTGTACAACTTTGAAGTTGTGTATAGAATCACTAGACTAGTTATATAATTTGAACATTGGCTTAGATAAAAATTGCATTGACTTTTTCCCCAAAGAACATACTGTGGTTATGTTATGACTGCATATTTCTTTGTCCCTAATTTGTACTATTTCGAGAATTATTTTGACCATCTTCAGTCATAAATGATAACTGAAAGAGTTAACTAGATAGCAAGTTATATCATGTGTTACTTTTTCAGTGTACTGGACATAGATTATTTACGTTTGGATGTGGAGATTAACTGTAAATTTGCTTGTCGGTAATGCATTTGGGCATACACAATATCTAGTATTGGTTTGAATTAACTGCCCTTGTCGGTAAATTTGCTTCCACTTGCTTTGCTGGCAAACTTTATGAATACAAGTAGTTGTGAATCTGTTTTGATTCTGTTAATGTTTTGTATTATTTGTTCCTATTTGATTCTCTATACTTTTAAATTTGACTTGACTTAAATTTAATTAATTATAAATTAATTGATTTTGTGTATAGCTTTTCTGAATTATTGTTTCAAGCTTGGCTAGTTGTGTGTTGCGTCTTTTAATAAAATACTTTCTCAACTTGCAAGGGAGAATATGTAAAAGCCTCTTTCATTTAATCAAAGTGAAAAGCCCTCATTCCATCAGTCTATTCATAGCCTCATCCCTCTACCCTATCCCCCACTTTCCAAGCTAGTTTAGTGCCTTTTTAGTCTCTTCCCTTGAAAAGGGCTCACTTCAGATAAAGATAGAAACCATTAAGTCCAAGTGTCAAAAATTCATATCTAATCATTTTATACACCAACTCTCTGGGAAGAATATACCCTCCTGTTGAAGGGGTCCAGTAAAAAACTCTTTCTCTCTCTCTTTCTCTCTTGCACACATTTTTCAGAGCATTGTTGACACTAATATTATTTAAACTTTAAGGGTCAAAGTTGCAGACTCTTTGTTAGCCTTTTAAGTCTCAGTCCCAAAATTATAGAGGGCTTGGGAAAACAAAATCAACATAGGGAGAAACAATTTTATGTAAATCACAGCACTCAAATGGCTTGAACTCAACTAACCCTAGCTTTTAGGGTTTTGTGTGCGTATAGCACTAATTCAATTTCAGTCCTGTACCACCAACAGTTGTCACAGCTTTGTCTTCATAAAATACACTTGCTGGTGCATAAAAAATTCTTAAAGCAGCAAGGTAAATCAATTTGCAGCTCACAAACAGAACTGAAAAACTCACAGCAGGCTCAAAACAACAGCATTGAATTAACATTAATATGAAGGGGTAAAACTGGTATTTTGCCTAGACACCTCTGAAAGCTTAGGTCCACGGCTTTGTTTCCTCACCTTACACTTGCTCAGATTAACCACCACTCGAACACAGCAATTAATATTCAAGAAATAGCTCACAAACTGTCCTCAGCTACAGTTTCTGCAGAATTGCTTGACTGAAGTGTATTTCTAGAATTTCGTATAATCTCAGGCCTGAATTGAGTTCTCACAAACTAGAACCATCATTACACATATGCTCTGACGTAGAACACACTAACTGAGGCATAACACTTTAATTTTAGTTTTGTGATCTTAGTGTATTAAGCTTAAAACCCTTGCTTATGAGGTTTAAGATGTCAAAACAAGCACTGACCACTTTTTAGGAAATAAACCAACTTCAACAGCTTATAATCATTAACACAATCATGTTCCAAGGGTACACAATCAACTCACACCATGATTTGTATATATATAACTCAGTTCTGTTACTTAAACCAAAAATCAGCAACAATAAAGAAGAATGGGACCTCAAATTTAGCTACAGCACTTATATGCTTAAGAACAGGTTTTTTGCAGCTTTAAATAGATAGAATATACTTGCCTTAACCTATACAAACCTCTGAACTGTCCTTCATAGATGTTGAGGCTCTGAATCACTCTTTTACACCAGAAAATCAGCAACACAAGCCCTCCTTTCTGTTCAACACATCTACAGCTTCTTTATGAGGATTTCAGTGAATAAAATAGACTTGGATAAACCTAAAATCACCCATTAAACACTCACTATATTCAGCTTCGAGCCCCTTTTGCAATGCAGCCTATTTTAGCTCAATATTCCTCTCTTGGCTCTCTTTTTTACAGGCTACTATAAGGATGCTTTATACCAACTTTTTGTCACACTGAAAAACCCTAGTATAGCGGATAAGGATGGCTAGATCCACCAATAGCATTAGAGAAAGTATTATCCTGACATTTTCCAGCATATAGAGGGACCTCAATACCCATTGACACATCACACATTCTTGTCTTCTAGTGCACTCACATTTTACAACAAATATGTATATACTGTATACTCTAGCTCAGGATAATGCAAGATTGTTAATTAGCTTTCACTTTGATAAATTAGATACTTGGGTTCTCTATGCTGGATGACACCAAATTGCTATTTAGGCTGAGATCTTAGCTCTTTTGGAAATTGTCAAGGTTGTTTTGAATGTGGGGCTTTGGCAATGTTTGATATAAAAAGATTCTAATATTGTTTTTATCTTTAATTATAATTGATTCATCCATTCTTCTTAAAAAAGGAAAATGCAATAATATTATTTACACAATTTTTTTTTTTCCATGAAACCAATGGTTTTACTTGCCTAATAACTGTATGGAAGACTTAACAAAAGGTTTTTTCTTTTGCAGTTGTTGTACTTGAAAATTGCTATTACTAAATGATTTCTGACTTGGAAAATGTGGAGGGAATTATATTGAAAAATATTGATTCACTTTCAGAGATAATGCTTTAAATTTTGATGCTCTAAAGTCTTCTTCTCATCTTGTTGTATAGATATGAAAAATGTCGTCCTATGTCCATTTATCTTTAGGTCCTGCTATTTGTAATTCTCTTTTTTATAACATTTAAGTAATTGAATATGGTATTCTTTATTTTCTCAAATAATGGTATGCTTACCTATTTGATTTATTTAGGTCTTTTTTCTCTTAAATGTGTTTACTAGTGGGTATAGATGTAGCCTGCAGTTTGGCAGAACCTTGCATATTATATTTAGTAAAGACACAACCCATGAATCAAATAAACAGTGACTT